GCCGGCCAGCAGGCAGCTGGGCGGCAGCGCCCTCTCCAGCGAGCGCCGGTAGCGGTCGTTGATCCTCCCGAGGAAGCTCTCCCGGGCGCTGGCCTCGCCGTCCAGGCCCAGGCCCGCCACCTCCTTCAGCACGTCCGCCAGCCCGTGGTCCTCGTTGTTGTTGTTGTTGCCGGGCCCCTTCTTGGCGGGCTCGTACAACTTGGGGGCCAGGCTGAGCGCCTCGGGCTCCCCGTTGTTGTTATTGGTGGTGGTGAGCGGCTTCGAACCCGCGGCCGCCCGGTTCCGGTTCCACCCTGGCGCCACGGGTTTGCTCTCGCCGGACTCCGGGGTGCCCGGCTCGCCGCCCGTGCTCGGCCCGTCGGCCACCATCATAGTGGGCTTCACGGCGATCGTGGGCTTCTTGGCCACGGGGGGCCGGAAGCTGCCCGCGGCCCGGACGCGGTGGTTGTTGCTGTGGTTGGCGTTGGTCTTCACGCCGCCATGGGCGCCCGGGCCCGGCTCCGGGTCCGCGGGGAGCTGGTGCAAGCTCTTAGGTTTAAAGCAATTCTTGCACTCGCCGGGTTTCCACACGTGCTCAGTGAAGGTGCTACAAGCAGACATCTTTGAAAGCGAAGGTCACCCGCAGCGCGTCTCCTTCAGTGCATGGCAAGCCTGCGGCAGAGCGCAGAGCGGCCGCTCACCTCCTGCGGGCTGCGCCGGCCGCGCTCCCGGGCGCCGCCAACCTGGGGGGGAAGGGACAGCACAGGCACGTCACCTCACTTGGAAAAGCCAGCTTCACTCCCAAGCTTTCCCTCCCATTAAAAACTTCTTGGACAGTCTGCCTCCAGCCGAGCAGTATCGTATCGTGTAGCTAGATAAAGCCTATTTGTTTTCAGAATGGGCGTGTGTGTTGGTATTGGGGCCTGAACTCAGAGCTAGGGCGCTGTCCTTCAGCTTTTCCACTCAAGGATGGCATTCTACCACCTGAGCCACGCCTCCGCTTTGGTTTTGCTGTTGCTTAACGGAAGACTGAGAACTTTCCTCCCCAGGCTGGATTTGAACCATGATCCTCAGATCTCAGCCTCCTGAGTAGCTAGGATTACAGATGTGAGCTGCTGGTGCCCAGTCTTGGGTGTGAATTTTTACCAGGTTCTCCAGGTGGTTTTAAGTTTGGAGAAGTGTCATGGAATCTGAGACCCTAAGCATTTCATGAAACACTCCTTGCCGGCCTCATTTTAAAAATCAACTAGTCTTGGATGCTAATAATGGGGCGACTCATTTCTCCTTGGATTAACTGAATGCTTTGATAGGTCAACATGAACAACTATTTTGCATTTTGCATTTTCTGGGTCCCTACTCATTTTTTTTTTCAGTTGGTTGTGAGGCTTGAGCTCTGGGCACTGTCCCTGAGTTCTTCAACTCAAGGCAGGCTCTTTACCACTTGAGCCAAAGCCCCACTTCCAGTTTTCTAGTGGTTTATTGGAGAGAAGCATTTCATGGACTTTTCTTCCCAGGCTGGCTTTGAACCATGATCCTTGGCTCTCAGCCTCTTGAGTAGCTAGGATTACAAGCGTGAGCCACCAGCACCAGGCTCCCCACTCATAATTGAGCTTCTTGAAAGGCCTGGGTTATATCTTAGTCATCTCCATATGTCTTCCCTAATGAATAAACATGGATGAATAGAATGTGCTGGTTTCTAGGTTTGTTTAAACAATGAATCTTATGGCTCTCTCTCTTATCTCAGGTTCACAGCTTCAGACTTTCCCATGAGCATCACCACAGTCCTGTGTTTCTTTTATATTAGAATAAATTGGCAGTAGATGCACGAGAAGCTATTTTAAATAGATGGAAAGGTGAGCCACATCCATGTATACAGATAGAGACAGGATCTTTAGTTTGGTCAGAAGCCCAGCCTTTTTGCCAAATTTCAAGATGTTTCTTGTGGATGCATGTATTTCTTTAGCTAAAAACATCTGAAGGAAAGTAGAATTACAGGCTGAAAGGAGTAAAGAAGTCCACGGAGAGCCCAGTAAGGTTAAGACATTCTTCGATTGTTTGAAAATGTTTATTTACTTTTGCAGAAATTCTCTTAGCAGGTAAAAGTATTTCTTGCCTGTGGCTCACACCTGTAATCTTAGCTACTCAAGAGGCTGAGATCTGATGATCGTGGTTAAAAGCCAGCCAAGGCAGGAAAGTCCATGAGACTCCAATTAACGATCAGAAAACTGTGGCTCAAGTGGTAGAGTGCTGGCCTTGAGCTGAAGGATAGTGCCCAGGCCCAGTGTTCAAACCCCATGACCGCCAAAAAAAAAAAAAAAAAGAAAGAAAGAAAGAAAGAAAGAAAGAAAGAAAAGTATTTCTTTCTTGTCTGAGACCTGAAAATTGTGACTGATGGGGAGAGAAATTTGGTTGAAGAAGAGAGCAGGAACCAGATTATGTGAGCCTTTTAGGCTTTTAAAGATTGTAGAGTTTGTTCTAAGAGCATGGAAAGCCACTTGAGGGTTCTGCACAGGGAAAACACTATGAGACAATCTGTATTTTAAGAAGATAACCTTAAATCTGCTGCTAGTGGCTCATGTCTGTAATCCTAGCTACTCAGGGGGCTGAGTGAGATCTGAGGACTGAAGCTCAAGACCAGTTGGGGCAAGAAAGTCTGGAAGAATCTTACCTCCAATTAACCACTAGAAAGCCAAGGAGGTATGGTTCAAGTGGTAGAGTGCCAGCCTTGAGTGAAAAAGCTAAGAGATAGTGCCCAGCGCCCGAGTTCAAGCCCTAATATTGCCACAAAAAAGAAAAGACAGAAGCATGATGTGGAAGGTACTTTCAGATCTCATTTTTATAGGTAGTCCTTGTAGACAGAAATTTGGGCAAAATGTTCAAGAGCCAATACCAAAAGTATGAAAGGACAAATGGATTTAGACTTCATCATAATGGAAAATGTCGGGCAGGGACATGCCTCAGTGGTATCAGAAACAAGGGTCTATATTTAATCCTCAGTCTATATTTAATCCACATATGGACTTGCATACACATGTGGTTTACAAAAAAAATCTATAAAAAAGGGTTGGTCTGACAAAGATAGTAAACACAGACACAGATGAGGAGATTTTTTTTTTTTTTACAAAATTACCTTTTGGTTGATGAAAGACTTTGTACCTAGAATATATAAAGAGCTTTCAAAGTGCAACAGAAAAAAAATCAAACCTAATAAAAATAGGTAAAAGAGGCGGGCACTAGTGGCTTATGCCTGTAATCCTAGCTTCTCAGGAGGCTGAGATATGAGGATCATGGTTCAAGGCCAGCTGGGGCAAGAAAGTTTTTGAGACTCATCTCCAATTAACAAGCAAAAAGCAAGAAGTGGCGCTGTAGCTCAAGTGGTGAAGTTATCAGCCTTGGGCAAAAAAGCTCAGGGACAGCACCCAGGCTCTGAGTTCAAGCCTCAGGATTGGCACATATGCACGCGCATACACGTGTGCGCGCGTGTACACACACACACACACACAGTAGTAGACACTGTCCCAATGACATATGGATTGCATATAGTTATATAAAAGATGATAAATACCATTAGTCTTGAAATCTAAAATAAACTACAAGCTACCATTGTAATGATTAAAATAGAAAAAATAACCCCCAAACAGCAAACTCCAAACTAGCTGGTGCTAGTGGAATAATTAGAAGCTTTCTTTATAAAGTATGTTGCTTGTGGGAATTAAGTGATTCAGGCACTTGGGAAAACAGTCTGACAGTATCTTATAAAGTTAAACATCAACTTGCAGTGGCACCTGCCAATTCCACTCCTAGCTATTTCCCCAAGACAAATGAAAGCTTCTGCCAACACTAAAATGGTACACAAAGGTTTATAGACAAAAAAAAAAAAACCCAAAAAACAAAAAACCAGGAGCAATTCAAGTGTTGCATGGTGGCAGTTCCAGACCTGCATACATTTATCAAAACTTGTAGAACAGTACAATGAAAACGGCGAGTTTCATTCCATGTACAATTAAACTTCAATGAACTTGACTTGCAAGAGCCAGCTTTGGTGGGAGGGAGTATGGACTCTGGATGAGGGTCTGGGAGGCAAGATGGTTTCATGGTCTGGCTGGGTGTGGCAGATGAGGATTGTGGACTGTGGAGGTTTGGGGCTTTTGTCTTCCAATGATGTGTGGAGCCATTGGCTGAGATGGGCAAGGATGGAGGAGGCATAACATTAAGGGGATGGTGATCAGTGCATCCTTGGTGTCTCTGCATAGAACCAGGTGGCTGTATGGAAAGCAGAAGAAAGTTCTGGGGTTCTCAGCTGCTTGGGTCCTACAATAGAGCTGTATCTATGCTTAAAAGAAAACAGGGAGCAACACTGATCCAGATCTATTGTACTCATTATAAAATGGTTTGTTGAATTGAAATCCCTTTGCACAACTACTTAAAATAACAACAACAACTACTACTACAACGACAACAGAGAAAGAAGATGGGCTGGGAGGGAGAAAAGCATAATCTCCACTGGATCCCACCAGATCCCACCCGATCCCACAGGCAGTGTGAGCGCATTGGTGGCCTTGAGTGGCCCAGGTATTCTGGTGTCACCATGGGATAGAAACCAGACTAGTGAACTGAAGAATGGCAGAGGTGATGGAGCAAGGGCGGATAATCTGTGGAATAGTTAAGGTGGAAAGCAGAATTAAAAAGAGCTGGGAGGATTTGGGGGTGGGGCGGGGGTCCAGAAAAGATTTCCTTATTTTCAGATGAGATACATGATACAATGCTGGGTGACAATGCTTGAAGAAGACGCAAGGGAGAGAGTGGACTGGGGGAGGAATAAAAAAGGGGCTGGGGGAGGAATGAGAAAGAACTGCAAAGGTTATGATGTTATGATGGTCGCAGGCCAGACATGGTAGCTCACGTCTGTAATCCTAGCTACTCAGGAGGCTGAGATTTGAGGATCACAGTTCAAAACCAGCCCAGGCAGAAAAGTCTGTGAGACTTTTATCTCCAATGAACCAGCAAAAAGCTGGTGGAAGTGTGGTTCAAGTGATAGGGCTCCAGTCTTGAGTGGAAAAGCCAAGTGAGAGTATACTGTGAGTTCAAACCCCAGTACTGGCACGCACAAAAACCATTAGCAACAGCACCTAAGCAGGTCCCCCTTTCAATTTTGTTTTATAGACAAAAGAACATTACCCTTAAGGAAAAAGTGACTTTCTTAAATTCATACAGAGAATGAGACTTAGACCATAAATACTTAAGGCTACAGCTTACCAACAACCTATTTGTTTTAAAATTATTTTTCTTTTGCTAGATTTTTTTTTGTATGTCCTTACTATAGAACCTCAGAAACACATAAGGAAAACAGAAACTATGTGCAATTTTATTATTTAGAAATAACTTCTATTAACTGTTTGGGGCAGCTCCTGTCAATCATCAAGAAATCTTTTGAGTAGGGTACTGGTGGCTCATGCCTGTAATCCCAACTACTCAGGAAGCTGAGATCTGAGGATTGTGGTTTGAAGCCAGCCTAGGGAGAGAAATCTGAGAGCCTCTTATCTACAATTAACCAGCAAAAGACCAAAAGTGGAGGCTCAAGTGGTAGAGTGCCAGCCTTGAGTGGAAAAGGCTAAGCAAGGCCCGGAGTTCAAGCCCCAGTACCACCAAAAAAAAATATTTAAAAATATTTAAAAAAGTATCCTTGTGTCCTTGGAAGACTATAGAACTGAAATTAAAAGAATAAGATATCCTGGACTAAAAT